GAGCACTTTGGATTCTCCTACCTTCCCATAGGATTACTGTCAAACGTGCTCATGTCTATTTTCGTCAAGTCGGTGGTACGTAGCGCGGCGAAGTGGTCAACCCAAGGGTCGACCGTTTCTGGATTCTGGCTGCAGCATCTTTCTCACATAGATTCGTAGAAGGCTGTGAGTTTTGCGCCTCCTCCAGGGTGACTTTTTCAACAGACTTTAGGATATTCTGTCGAGTGGGTGGAAACCCATATCCACAGTCGCCTGCACTGGGCCCGTCGTTGGCGGAGAATTCATAATGCAACAAAAGTTTCCTCTTTATTGTTGAGTTTTCTAGTTTTTAAACTTTACGTTTTCCTCCAGTATCTCATCTTCTAATCTCTGAACCCTACCCTACCATACTGCTTGCTGGAACAGCCGCGATTGGCCTAGAATAGGTGTCGTGTATATTAGTGCATGCCTTGATCTGTGGTAATACGTGATATGGAAGTCCTGTTTGGGCGTTTTTCACTCCACTTCTGTGTGCATTACACCTGAAGGGATCCCCAACCAGACAGAAAACAAAAACTCCCAGCGATTTTACACTGGTGTTTCTCTCCCTGAGGAATCACCTGACAAGCCTGCAACATCGCACTGCTCACAAAGCTGCACATCCCAGCCCGACTACCTCAATCATGGCGTCCGTCACGGTGCTGTCGAGAAGCTGGATTATCTCAGTGCAGTGATGGCATGGCACCGCCATACTCAATATAATAGCATGCCCGTAAATGTTTACTTCATACTTTGACTGCGCCCCCTCGTGCACTATATTTCCTACCTGCAACCAGCTGCATCCTGGAGACGTTCCTTCCAGCCTGCCGAACCTCCAACTAGATCTGAATATCTCGGTGTCTTTTACTTTGTACTGATTACCAAGTCACCCGTTTTCCGTGCAGCTCACGTTCCTTGTTGTGCGTTTGTGTGAACTCCTATTCCCAAAGAACTTTTACACCCGACCCCCTCCAACAGCAACACTAGAAGGTCTCCTCAGTTTCACTGCACAGTGCGTTTCTGAGTTTCCCACTACCATTTATCCGTGCTGCATACCCCCCTCTTCGCTATTCCCATTTACTCTATTTGGTGACCCCAGCCATACACCCAACAGCCCAAGGCCACAAAGCCTCAATGACGGTTTTGGGCTTTAGTTTAAATTGGCCGGTAAGATGGTGGCAGTTCTGCTGCCTCTCCAAATCCATTATTCTGATTCCACATTTTTTGCACCTTGAGGTATTTTGTCACGTACCAGGCGGAAAGCCTCTTGCTAGGACCTCTCGCGTGCTGTTTTTGCCCGCCAATTTCAAATACTTACGATCGTATCATGCCTCATCTAATATGTTCTCCATAACAAAAGAACAGCCCTTGTAATTTTGGTTCCCTACCAATGCCATCTCAGGAATCACCAAGTCTATTTCGGATAATGCTCACTGTTCGCCACCGTCTTTTTTCCACGAAATTTCCAGTACCCTCAAACTTTGACTGTAACATTATGATCATGCCTGAAGGTATGCCATTCACTAATTGGGAATAAACATTATTGTGACAAAGGATGGACGGATAGGATTTTTACCCACCGTGATCACAAAGCTGAATTCAGCGGTTTGCAGGCGGGACTCCAGCAATTTTCCGCACCGGTTTCGATCCCCTTTTGAAGGAGCTGTCCGGTTCAGCAGTCT